GGGGGGTGCTGCGATGGTGCCGCCGGGATCCCGTCAGCCCCGGCACAAAGAGGAATGCGACGAGCACATGGTTCCCATTAGCCCCGGAGATTTTTTTCTTTTTCGGGTTGTTTTTTTATGATTATTACTTTTTTCCCCCCTATTTTCTGCAGCAGCTGGGCCAGGGAGGAGGAAAACCAGCGGCTCCCGCGGGCGAGGATTTGAGCGTCTGGGCGAAGGCTGGCAGCGCCGGAGCCCGTTTGGGGTTTCGCCGGCGGGGAGGGAGGGAAGGAGGGAGCGAAGCCGCTCGGGGTTTTTTTCTTTTTAATCCCTTCCCCTGCTTGAGTCAGAGGCTGAAGTCCCCGGCTTCCCCGTCCCGAAGCTTTTCCCCCGCCACGGGAGGACCGGCCACCCCCCCGAAAGGATGCACAGACGTCCGTGAGTGGGATTTTGGGGGAGCGGAGCTGCCCCACACCGGGGCATGAGACCGGGCAGCTCATCACACAGGTATTTTTCAGGCCGCCGATTCATCTCAGGGATGAATCCTGCTTCACCGGTGCAGCGCCCCGGCTAAAGCCTCAGGGTTCTGTCCCCCCACCCCCAAACCATCCCGTTTGGGAAGGGGAAGCTTCTCTCCGGCTGCTCTTCCCATTGGGAAGCTGAATAAACAGCCCTTTTCCTTCCCGAGCGGGGTTTATCGGGGTCGGGCGCATCCTGCCTGCGCCGCTGGGCGATGCTTGGGGGCCATTTCAGTGACAGGGACGCAGCGATTCGTGGCATCATGCCCCGGTTTCTCCATCAAGGGGGGGATGCTCTGAGCTGGAAGTGATTAGGGGGGAAATAGGGGTAAGCAGGGAGGGAACGGGGAGCCAGGGGACCTAGAAACACCCCAAAAAATGGTTTGCAAAAGCAGATCCTATTACAACCCCATTTTTAAGAGGAAAGGTGGGTTTTTCCTGCTGCCCGCAGGGAGTTTAATCCCAGGTGGGGGCAATAAGAGGAAGTAAAGGGGGTTAAAATGCTTACGAAAGGGTGGGGTTTGGTCACAGAGGCACGGAAATGGGAGACTTCAGATGCTGCTTCATCGGGACCCTTTACCCTGTGTCCTCCCAGGCACGAGACCATTTATTGCCGTGACGTGGGACAGGGACGCTCATTCCTTCTCCCTTTCCGGGAGGGCGAGGAGGGAGGCGGGTTGAGGCCGAAGGGCGGCGCGGCTGCAGGAGCTGCCGGTGAACCCGCAGGTTTCGCTCCCTTTTATCTTATTTTCCCCCAAATCAAACCCAGGTCCGGCCCTTCCGCAGCTTTCACGATGCTGCCGGGGAAAGCGGAGAAGAGGATCGCTTCGTCCGTCTTCATCACCCTGGTGCCGCCACAGAGGGAGGCGGCCACCAAGGAGAAAACCCAAAGGGAGACGCGGCCAGACGGTGCAGAGGTCCCGGGCACCCGTCACCCCCAGACCCGACCGCTGCAGCCCCCTGCATTGCTCAACGGAGGTGAGGGGTGTCCGCGGGGGGACTGCGAGCAGTGCTGGGAGAATGATGATGGTGCTGAGGATGCTGCGGAGATCCTTTGCTAAAGGATGCGCGTGCAGGCAGGAGGGGATTTGGTTTTTTGGGGGGGTATTATTCCCCAAATCCCCGCACCCATCCCAGGATGGATCCGGTTGCGAGGGAAGGGCTGTGTTTGCTCTCCATTGCCAGGCGCTTATCGGCACTGTTTGTCCCCTCCGGCTGGGATGGCGTTTGCTTTTGGGGCAGGTCGGCAAGCGCTACTGCAAAGCTGTCAGGGAGTTACTGCGATGGGGTGTTATTGGACATTATTGCCCCCTCTAAACCCACCGTGTCTGGCTTTCGCCACAGAAACCCGCCCAGCGGCCCCTGTGCCTTCGTCCCCACCGGTCCTCGTCCTCTCCGAAGCGCCCCAGCCCTTGTCCGCGGAGGCGCTGGGTCCGGCACTGCAGCAACTGGACCTGGCGGCACCCGCCACCCTTCAGGTGAGGACAATGGGGTACAGTCGCCCCAGTGCCTGAGTTTCCCCACCTGCAAGAGCATAAATGTAACATGGCTTCGCCTTCCCCCGCTCACCAGGCCCCTTCCGCCTTCCCTGCCGAATTGAGGCCGCCCAAATTTTGCCAGGAGCAAGCAGGCAAGCCGCAGTGGCAGGATGCGAATGGGTACCCAGAGAGGGATGGCTCCAGAGGTAAGGGGAGGACCCAGCTGTGCAGTGTGGGCTCATCCCCAGTTGGGAAAACCGAGGCACGTGGCACTGAACCCCTCTCCCTTCTTCCCGCAGACATCTGCGCCTTCTGCCACAAAGCGGTGGGGCCCCGGGAGCCGACGGTGGAGGCGATGCGGAAGCAGTACCACGCCGACTGCTTCACCTGCCGGACCTGCCACCGGCTCCTGGCCGGCCAGCGCTACTACCAAAAAGATGGGCGCCCCATGTGCGATGCCTGCTACCAGGTACCCGTCCTCCCTCGGGGACAACCAGCACCCTCGGGGGGGGTGGGGTGGCGGGAGATGAAGGCCCTCGCGGGGGGAGCTGGCATCTCACGGTGTGTGTCCCCAAACCCCAGGCCACGCTGGAGAAATGCGCCAAGTGCCAGGGGCTGATCGTGGAACGCATTGTCCGTGCCCTGGGCAAGGGCTACCACCCCGGCTGCTTCTCCTGCGCCGCCTGCGGCCGGGCCATCGGCGCCGAGAGCTTTGCCGTGGACGAGCAGAACGAGGTGTACTGCGTGGCTGACTTTTACAGGTTGGGGAGCACAGAAACAGGGGAGCATCCCCCACTTTGGGGGGGGTTCGGCTCATCCCCATCACCCCACAGGACTCACGCCACCCTGGTTTGCTCCCATCAGGAAATACGCCGTGGTTTGCAGTGCCTGCGAGCACCCCATCGTCCCCCGCGAGGACAAGGACACCTACAAGATCGAGTGCCTGGGACGCAGTTTCCACGAGAGCTGCTACCGCTGCGAGGTACGGCCCCGACGGGGCTGGGGGTGCCCCCCAAAAGCCAAGGGGTTTGGCACCGAGTCTTTGCAAAGCACGGCCACAGGGCTCGCAGCACCCAGGGTTATTTTTTAGCCACCAGTTATCTTGCAAGCGACAGGGAGGGGGAAAAACAAATAAATCAGGTGAAAAGGACGATGCATTCGGCCAGGAGAGCTTCAGCTTTTCACGCTTTTGATGTTGTTTGTTGCTTCTTCCGAGCACTGGTGGGTTTTGCAGGAAAGATGGGACGCAATGGCATGGTATCTCACATGCAATGCAGCACAGGGATCCCTAAGGCATGGCCTCCCTTTCCCCTCTCGCCCCCAGAGCTGCGGGACGCCCCTGTCGCCGGAGCCGACGGAGAATGGGTGCTACCCCCTGGACGACCACCTCCTCTGCAAGTCCTGCCACGTCCGCCGGCGAAACGAGTCGTCCTGCTAAAACCCCACGGCTCAACCTCCATCTTCCAGCGCCGGACACCAAAAAGGGGGTGCACCCACCGGGATGCACCCCGCAGCCGGTCCCAGGTGCCCGCTGCACCCCCAAATAACTGCAGGACCAGAGTTTTTGTCACTGAAATGTACCCGGACCCCCGTCCTGCCAGGCTGGCCAGGCGAAGCGCAGATGTAGTGTCCTGGCATGGCTCTGCGCTCGTTACGAACATAAAAAGGCCTGGCAGAGCAGCGGTGGCGGAGGAGCTGAGGTTTTGTTCACTTATTTCTTTTTTTAAATTCCTTTTCCGTGGCCGGTTTGGTTTCCTTGGGTGTTTTTTCTTTCTTCTTGAGCTTCCTTGGGGTTTTACTTAAACATTTCTCTCTGCGGTGACACAGAGAGCGGGCACTGATTTAGTTACTCGCAGTTAAATAAAACCCCGAGTTTAAAAACCCTCGTTTCTTTCATCCACCCCGCATTCCAAACCCATAAAATGCAAGTTTAAAAATATGAAAAAAAGCCACTTCTAAGATTTTATAGGCGTGGCAAGAGTCAGGTCGCTCAGGACGATAACGTGGCTGATTTTGGGGTGCAGCAATTTGGCAGATGCCGCTGTCACCCTGGGGGAGAGCAGAGGGTCGTTTTTTGGGGCCTGATTCAGGATTTTGCGATGTGCCGTGGTGTTGATGAAAGGGTGTTTGGTGGTGGTTTTATTTTTTTGCGGACAGCCTGCACTGCCTGGGCTCCATCTCAACCAACTCCTGGAGCCGGCAGAGGGCAGCCGGAGCACAAATTCCCCCATTCAGGCAGAAAAACTCCGGCTAAATGCCATCTCCTATATCCGACAGCACCGGGATGCCAGGAAAGACCGACAGCCCCATTTTTGCATGTTATCCAAGATAATATCGCTCTGCCGTTGGAAGCTTTTTGATCTTCTCTCAGTCCAAGCCCCAAACTGTCAGAAATTAGACCATTTCTCTGCGTGCCTGACATCTGTGCAACTGGTGTCACTGGTGCTTAGCGGTTTTGTTTGCGAGGGCGTTGCAAACCAGCTGGAGAAAGAGGGGTTTTCTTTTTAACCGAAAGTGCTTAAAAAGCCACAAATCGAGAGCAGAAAATAGCAAGAGCGTCTGAGATGATGTTTAATGCTTTCCTGATGAAAAAAGGGAGTTGCTAAAAAAAAAAAACCCAACAACCAAACCAGCAGCCATACGTGCGTGCTGTGTTTATGAATGAAAGAGTTAATGTATGGTTAATGTATGCACTGGAGTCCGGCGGGCTGGTTGATTAATCACACCAACCCCGCAACTATTTCCTGCCCACTCTCCCCATCTACAAAGCCTATTGCTCAACGTTCGTAATGTGTGTCTACGGCCCATCAATCGGGTCATAACTCACTATAAACTTATTTATAAATAGGATGTTAATGTAATGTTGCAGTCTGTCCCGGTCACGTAAGTAGGTGGCTTTGGGTCCGGCTGGGTGGGGACACCGCATACCCCCGTGTCCCACGCCGGGGAAGTCCCGTGCTCGAAGTCAGCTCTCACTTTCCAAAGCCTCTCGCCCAGTGGGGAAAACCAGGCACCAAAATGATGCTAAAAACATAAAAAGACGTGGGCAGACTTGGCGGTGGCCAAAGGGGGCGGGGAAGGGAATCCCCAGAGAGCAAAGGGTTGCCCGTTTTTTGGCAATACGGGTATTTTTCCAAGCGAGGTTTTCAGGGAGGATGGAAACACCGATGCTGAGCGGTGTTTTGGATGCATTATGGCATTGCACGCTGGCTTAAACCCTCTGCGCAGCACCCTTGGGTGCTCAGAGAGCTACGCTACCCCTCTGCAGAGCTAACGGTGGGAAGGGGTCGGGTATTTCCCCCGCAGAGCAAGCCAGGATGGGCTGTTAGCACTGGGACTGTGGTGATTTTTGGCCGGAGGCAGGCAGGGAAAAGTTTTTATCAACATGAAGCCTTGGAGAAAATGCTGAAAGGCGAGGAGAAGGGCAAGGTGCAACTGGAGAGTTTGGCGGTGCGGCGAAGGGATGCAGAAGTGGTCAGATTTGGCATATTTTTCCAGGAACGGAGGATGACAAGGGACAGGGATGGATGGACATGGAGGTAAGAGGATAAAAGACTGATTTAAGCCATTTTCTTCTCAGATAAGGGGAGAAGCATTATGAGCTGAGGCGCAGGGACTGTCACTAAGCCTGAAAAGCATGGCCCCGCATTTTCCCCTGGGAGGATCTCGAGGAATTTCTAGCACGGACCAAGCTGCGTGGAGGAGATTTCGCAGGGGTGGGGCTGTGGGAGCTGGGTCCCATCCTGCTGCTGAGCAAGCCCACGTTGGCTGCGACGGCTCAGCCCGTCCTCGGGCTCCTCGCCCCATTGCAAGCGCTTTTGCAGGCGCCCAGGTCTGCTAGCAAAAATATAATAAATACAAATCATGCATGGAGCAATATGAAGCTCTTGTTCTCCTTGGGAGCCCCCCAAAGCTTTGCAGAGACCCCCTCCCCCGAGACCACCCAGGCATAAAACTCGCTCGAGGTCTCTCTCGTCTCCTTCCAGTGGCGGTGCAAAAGGGCAAAGAGGATCATACGCCTCCGAATCGCACCAGCTGGGCCCTGCCCTTCCCTGGGCTGCTGCAATAAGCCCGTCTTTTCTTGCAATCCCTCTTGGCAGGCCAAGGAGAGCGGGGAGGGACCTGGCTGCCCTCCAAGGAGAAGCAAATGCAAATATTTCTTCACTTCAGGCTGGGTGCGGCCCGGGGATAAAATTTCCCTGGGCTTTCCCAGTGAAGGCATCCGATACCGTACCCCGCTGCGAGCCCAATTTGCTCCCAGGAATACAACCAAAGGTTATCTTCCTTGCAACTCAAAGGACCGCCTGATTTTTGAAAAGAGCTTTTAAATTAAGGGAGGAGCTGACAGGCACGGCCGTAGTATTTTTAAATCAGTGGCTGAAGTGTTGCTTTGTAACAAATAAGGCCTTTTTTCAGGTTTTGTTTGCAAGCCAAAGATTTTGGCGCAGCAGAAGGAAAGTGAGCCCATAAAGGGAAACGGGCCTTCTCCGGCCTCCCCCCCCCGGTCAGCCGTGAGAAATGCAAAAACCAGAGAGGGAGAGATGAGCTGGATTCCTCGCGTGCCTTCGCTCTGCCATCACCGCCTTCAAGGTGCCGGGAAGGAGCTGGCTGCGGAGAGGGAAACACTGCAGGAGGGGAAACTGAGGCTGAAGCAGCCGCCGGGGCTTTGCTGGCTGGAAAAGGTGCTGGGAGGAGGGTTGGGCGCTTATTGCTGCTGATGTTTTGTTTTGGTTTGTTTTTCCAAATGGGATGGAGAGAGCTGGAGGAAAACTGGGTTTTTCCTTTGGTCGACCCAGGTTAATCGCAACCGTACCCAGCTGGCTTGCTGCAGCGTCATCCTTCCCCGCAGAGCGTTCGGACCCATTTTCTGCACTTTCCTGTCTTCGACACAACCTAAAAACCTAACATTTCTTAAAAGAAAAGTGGTCTGATCCTGCTGGCTAAGGGAGAGGGGGGGAAACCAGCAGGGATTACTGTGGGAGCAGCCCAAGCCCTGAATTTCTCCAGCTTCATTATGCAGCACAGGCAGGATGTATAAAAAAAACAAAACAAAACAATATTCTCCTTTTTTCCCACTTTCCCTATAAAACTGAAACACCCAGCACCACAATATATTTTTAAAGCACGCCGTGTTTTCGATAACATGAGGCGAAATTGATGCAGCCGTTTACGCAAGCGTGTTACCAGGCTGCAAGTGATACACTGCGTTATTTAAAAAAAAAAAAAAGGAAAAAAAAACCACCAAAAACCCACCCGAAAATAGATGCACAGCACACGCCTGCAAGTGGGGCTTTGACATTTTATATCCCAGCTTTCCTTCATCGTATCAGCAGCGATTACAGCATCCCGCAGCCCTATTTCCCGAAAATTAACAATTTTGCCCAGACCTGGCTTACATTACATTACCTGTAAGCAGCTTACATTACATCTTTATTTGCTGGAGTGTCCATTAGAGCCCATAGGTGAGCGGTTTTATTAAAAAAACCGTCATTTTTTCTCAAGAGGTTATCCCGTTTTAAAGGTGGCTTATTGACCTCGGTGATTTACCACTGGGAAAAAAGCTGGAAGGAGGAGGAGGAGGGGGGAATAGCTCCTAAAAATTAATAAATCCCTTAATTCTCCGTGCGGCTAAACTTTCCCCAACAACCCACCCCATTTCTGAAAATAGATGCACAGCACACGCCTGCAAGTGGGGCTTTGACATTTTATATCCCAGCTTTCCTTCATCGTATCAGCAGCGATTACAGCATCCCGCAGCCCTATTTCCCGAAAATTAACAATTTTGCCCAGACCTGGCTTACATTACATTACCTGTAAGCAGCTTACATTACATCTTTATTTTGCTGGAGTGTCCATTAGAGCCCATAGGTGAGCGGTTTTATTAAAAAAACCGTCATTTTTTCTCAAGAGGTTATCCCGTTTTAAAGGTGGCTTATTGACCTCGGTGATTTACCACTGGGAAAAAAGCTGGAAGGAGGAGGAGGAGGGGGGAATAGCTCCTAAAAATTAATAAATCCCTTAATTCTCCGTGCGGCTAAACTTTCCCTCACAGCCCAGCCGGAGGAATATACTTTAATCTCCTTTATCGGATTGCTTCGTCCGAGGCTAAGGCGATCGGCCTCCACCCGGCGTTTTAAGGGCACTACGTTTTTGTAGAGAAAAAGAGAAGTAAGCAAGAAAAGGGAGGGTATTTGCCTGACAAAAGGGGGAGGAGGAGGCCGGGGGCTGCCCCTCACGGCCCGGCCCCGCCGACTCCGGCTCCACAGCGCCGCCTCGCCCGCG